AACTCACTATAATAACGAGTTTTACACGCACGATAGAACATAACCAACCCAAACAACATTTTCTTAAATCGAAAGTGAACAAATTTCATTTAAAAGTGCACTCTTACAAAAAAATAATAATAATAAAATAAAATAAAAAATCATAAAGCTCTTTCTATGCCAATTCCAAGAAAAGGATAGCTATTAAATTCAAATTATTTTCAAAATTTCCTTCTTTATTTGTATTGTTGTCACACAATCAATAGAACTAGCCATTAGTTGCCCCACGGGGCATAGTTCAGTGGTGCAAAAGACATGAGTAGCTGGCAGTCGCAGTGTGAGGGTTCGATTCCTGCAACTTACAATGTATGTAATTAGACTCTTTGTGGGCACTAGCAGACAGCTCTTGTACCTGGTCTGTTGAAGTACATCCCGCGATTTACCTCTTCCACAATGCTCTAGGGATGGGGCGGTGGGGAACCCTCAAAGTTGGGGTTCGACCTTTAGTAATGGCCATTAGTTTGGTTTCCAACTTGTTTATGGTCCTCCATGCCTAATGATGGCAACGAGGCGGGTTCGGGGTGGGGCGCCCCGCCCCGTCACGTCACTCCATGCCTAGTGATGGCAAAGGGGCGGGTGCGGGGCTCGAACTTGCCCCGTTTCTTGCCCCTTAATTTTCAGTTAAAATACAAATTTTAAAATCCAAAGCAAATAATGTTCAAATTAATTATATCAATATCCAAAGTAAGCACTCAAAAAAAATGTAAAAAAAAAAAAGTCTAAAACAATTTTTTTTTTTTTTTTTTTAATTCTTGATGCCCCGCCCCGCCCCGCCAAGCCAACCTATTCGAGGCGGGTTTTTTTTGCCCCATTTGGAGCGGAGCGCGGCGGGGCGAGGTGGGGAAAATTGCCATTTCTATCCATGCCTTTTCATTTTCTTGATTGTCAGCAACCACTTCTCCTCATATTCTACTACCATTTTCTTCTTATTTGCAACTCAATCCAGTCTCTTTCTTTCTCTTTAATAATATTAATTTTTTTTGTCAATTTGAAATTTTGCGTTAAGCTAAATACAACATTTGACTTCAAATATTAGTAGATTGAAAACTAAGGAAATATATAAAAGAATTAACAAATATTTCATTAATAATGCAAACAATATATATTACACCTATTTATATTTTCGAACGAGAAGCACACGTGCAATGTTGTCTTAAAAGTCGTTCAAAAAGATTTTTGATGGATTTTCGACTTTGAATCTAAGATTTTTTGTGACACAACTTATTGAACTTTATCATATATGGAAATTGCTATACTTAAAAAACTACATTAAGAATGAGCATTTGTGTTTCTTCGACCTTGGAATGAGAACATCTAAATAAATTTTTGCTTTTCTTTGAACTAAAATCGCGAATGTACGTATAGAAGTAGCAACAGTGTATTTTAATACAACATTAAGAAATTATGACATGTTTTTCGAGCAATTATAAATACAATGATATCATTTTCATTTCTTTGATTTGTAAGGATGGGCCCACAAATCTTAAAAAGTAATTAAAAAAAAGGAAGAATAATTAAAGTGTTATGAACCATTAAATTCCTCTTCTGTGCCAATAAAGCACAACTATATCAGCATGAATTGCAAGTTTCCAACTCGGAGTTTGGTTAGGGATTACATTAATAACAAGGAATAAGTAAATTTAAAGGTGGAAATAGATGTACTTTTACAAGACTAAGTCATTGAAAACGTTTCAATCAGTCGAGATGGAAACTATTTAGTTGAGCCGAAGAAAGAACGATTTAAAATAATTAAAACTTTAAAGATCATATGATCTCATGGAATAGTGAAGTTTCATACAATCTTTGACATTTCGAGTATTAATGGGTAGATTTATTTCGGAGAAGATTATTTATTTGATTGTATACTCTCTTTCTTTGAACATGATCAAAAATCATTACTCTTTGATACGAGAAAAGGAATTTTCTGCACCACTTTCTTGTGTTGAAGACTAGGAAGATGCATATGGGCATTCCAGCCTTTTTAATGGAGGGGCGTGCTATTTATTTACGTCTATTAAGTTTGTGTTTCGAAAAAATTCATTTTGAGAGAGTTGAAAGAGCACCAATCTCTTTTATACATATGTCATTTCTCAATGCATATATTTTGGAAATGATACTTTAAATACAAATAAATTATATCTTGTAAATTATTTCATTGTTGTCACTATTGATGGAAGATATTTACTAGAGTCTTATTCTTTGGATTTTGGACCTGAGATTTATTTCCTTCGATCTCTATTTTTTTTTACTCATATTGGATATCGGTAGGTACCTAGATTTTGTTCTTTCACTATCAATTGACAATGTCGAAATTATTCTATCTTTACGGCAAAAAAAAAAAAAAAAGCGTAAATCGAAACCAACAATGAACAGGTAAAAGAACCCGTTATTTTTCCCGGGTTATATTCGTACCACGTTTTACTTATATTAAATGTTATTAACCTTTATTAATTATCCCACTTATATATTTAATTTTTTTTTTATCACATTCTTATTTTTTACATTTTATTGATCAATTTTTTTCCTCAATCGTGATTAGAGATGTCAACGAGCCGACTCACTAGCCAAAGCTCGCGGCTCATGCACAGCTCGGTCAAAAAAAAGCTCAAGCTTTTTAAACCCGAGCTGAGCTAAGTCTAGCTAAAGCCCAACCGAAATTTGAAAGCTTAACTCGAGCTATTGGCTCGAGTTAAGAAGTCAAACAAGTTCTTCTTCTCGACTAAAATACAATAAAAGAATATTCATACAATGGAAATATATTAATTAGAGGACAATTTTCAAGTGCATAAATATTCTAATATTCACTTGTAGAATTAAAAATATTGGAATAGAAAATGTCTTTTTAAGTTTCAGCACCACATTAAAAAAATATTATTATATTAACTCTTATATAATAAAATTTAAAATTTACATCAATAAAATATAACGAAAATACTAATGAATATGATAATAAATTATAAATATTGATAGTTGTAACATAATTATGATTATTAATTATATTAGCATATTTATATATAAAGTGTACTTTATTGATTATAATCTTTAATATGATAATAAATTATAAATATAGATATCTGTAACATAATACTTGGTCAGAACCTCGTGTCGAGCCGGCTCGAGCTTTTATCCAACTGCTCATTTGCCATCCCTAATCATGATTTTCATTCAAAAATATTATTAACGTTTTTTAAAATGATGGTTAAATATTTATTCGCAATTTTGCATTATTATTTGTTCTCTCAAAAATATAACGGGCAAATGAGTCTTTTTAATTTATGAGAATAAAAATACGTTGAAAAAAAATTTAAAACATAAATTTCATAATATGTAAAAGTTACGAAGCTTTCGTACCATTAAAATGTGTAATTATTGAAAATTATAATAGTAAAAGTTGTATCTATGTGGTTGTTAGTTACATTAGATACAGCTGTATCTATATATATTCATCATTCATATCTCTGTTTATCCATCACACAGCAAGCGGTAGAGGGGATCAAAGACACCCTGACGATATAACCAATCGTTGGGGATTGTCCAAAAGTGCGGAAAACGAAATAAAATAATTCTCTGATTCGAACTCGGAGTTGACTTGCTTCTCAATTCACCCCAGATCTGCTTTGTTCCGAGAGGTGCATCTTTAATTATTACCTGGGATCTTTTGTTTCTATTAATTATCAATTGGGTTTTGGTCAAATTTTCGTTTAGTTTGAATGTCAATTATTATTTTGGAAACCAGCCCATTTTACGTTTTTTTGAAAGAAATCTTGCAATGCTGATGTAATCTCTTCTCACGTTTTGCTGTTTTTGAAGCATTTTTATGGTTTTGGAGTTTTGAAGAAAAAAGAAAGGCTTTTGTATTAATTGTTGAATAAAATGTCTTAGCTGCATTCAATATGACGTGTTTATTTGGATCTGGTGTTTATGGCATTTTTCACATCTTTCAGTCAATTTGAATTTATAGTTTGCGAATCACAGGCTCATAATTTACTTCCCCCACCCCGAATAGAATGAATTCATATTATTGATAATTTATTACGATAAAAATCATTTACCTTCATGGTTTCGATGAATCTTCCTTTTTTTTTTTGCCACGACAATTTGTAAAACTAAACACGGTGCATCGTGTTTGATGCTTGTGTAGAGTAGAGAGTCGCCTTAAATTTTGTCCAAATCTGCTTTTTGGTCACACTTTTTTTTTTTATTTGCGGTGAGAAATGAGGATATTGTTGGTTTTGGTGCTTGAAATTTTGGAGGTCAACGATTTCGGAAAGAACTTATAGGAATTCTTTTGCCAAGGCTCCGTCCTGTTCAATGAAACACAACCTTTTTTTTTTGGCACTATAGTTTGTTGTATTATATAACTTACTCAGACTCTCTTCTATAGCATGTAATGTATTGTGGTGCATTCTTTGTAGTCTAAAGCAGGAAATTCACTATTAAGTTCAGCGGATTTATCACCCTCATTCAAAGATCCAGCCTGTTGTATAGCTGGATGTTTGTTTCCATCCCATATAAGCACTTTATGTCGTCTTATGAAGCGTATGCAAGAATTGGCCGTTTCCCCGCAACTTTAAATTTTCTTTACTCTTCCTTGCACCTGCACATTCATGTGAGATTCATCTTAAACGGACATTAAAGGACCGACAACTTTCAAGAAAATTAGACATCTATCATCATATCCCATTACAGATGTCAACATTGAGTTCCATAGAGCTGCATGATTCTTCCTTTTCCTGTGCATAAATATAGAGAGACTAGACTTCACTTTTTAACTTGTTTTAGTTTATTTTATCTTTCATCTTAACGCTCGATTGAAATTCAGGCTGTTTAGTTAATACGATAAAGGAGATCATCTCAGTCTCAGGATGAAGGCACTAATTCTAGTTGGAGGGTTTGGTACTCGATTGAGGCCATTGACACTCAGTGTCCCAAAGCCTCTTGTTGACTTTGCTAACAAGCCCATGATCTTGCATCAGGTATTATATTTTGGATCCATTTTCTTGGTTCAGCTTTGTATATTTTGAATTATATCTACTCTTTTTTATAGTCATCTCTTCAATTTCCGATGGACTTTGCTATAGCATATATATTCTAATATATACATTCCAGGTTTACTAATCCTGATTGTAAACAAATTTCAGCAGGGTTTGCCAATTTAAACTTGTCATATATTTTATACTATACCAACCTGTCTCCAGTTTAAAAATTTTGTGAGTGGAAGTTACATTCTTGAACAAGCTGCTATTCAGAGTGAGGGGTTTTTCAATATCTTTAGTAAATAGACTAATTTCTCAATTTTTAAAATTATAGTTTAATATCTGGTTGAGAAGCTGTGTTGAGAAACTTGGATATTACTATACACCATTGTACTGTGTTAATGATTTGGTATCTGAGTTGTGGTACATCCTGTTCTCATGCATGTACATTTTGCGCCGACTCCCCTCCAGCACCCACACACCTAACTCTGTGTATGCCATTTTTCATTGAATCAGATAGAGGCTCTCAAGGCTATTGGAGTGAATGAAGTAGTCCTAGCTATCAATTATCAGCCAGAGGTAAACTGCTTTACTTTCTCATTCTCTTGCTCGTTCATAATTCTAATTGGAGATTGGTAGAAAATAGGAGTCACTAACAGAAAGTTGGTCTTCGTTTTGCAGGTAATGCTGAACTTCTTGAAAGACTTTGAGGAGAAAATTGGGATCAAGATTACGTGCTCACAAGAGACTGAGCCACTCGGAACTGCAGGTCCCCTCGCTTTGGCTAGGGATAAACTGAGAGATATTTCTGGTGAGCCCTTTTTCGTTCTCAACAGCGATGTTATCAGTGAATACCCACTCAAACAGATGATTGAATTCCATAAATCCCATGGAGGTGAGGCTTCCATAATGGTAACCAAGGTAAAGTCCTGTTGAATATTAGTCCCCGAGTTAAATTTCTGGAGGTTTATTTTGGAAGTCAGATTTAATTGAAGTTAAAACTTTTAATGATATAGGTGGACGAGCCTTCAAAATATGGCGTCGTTGTTATGGAAGAATCAACTGGACAAGTGGAGAGGTTTGTTGAGAAGCCAAAATTATTTGTCGGTAACAAGATCAATGCTGGCATTTACTTGCTGAATCCTTCGGTTCTTGATCGTATTGAATTACGCCCCACATCCATTGAGAAAGAGGTGTTCCCGAATATTGCAAGAGATAAGAAGCTCTATGCAATGGTCCTGCCTGGGTTTTGGATGGACATTGGACAACCAAGGGATTACATCACTGGACTGAGACTTTACTTGGACTCCTTGAAGAAGAGATCTTCTCCTAAGTTGGCCTCTGGACCTCATATTATTGGAAATGTTCTGGTGGACGAGAGTGCCAAAATTGGGGAGGGATGCTTGATTGGACCAGACGTTGCAATTGGGCCAGGTTGTGTCATTGAATCAGGTGTTCGGCTCTCTCGATGCACAGTAATGCGTGGTGTTCGCATCAAGAAACACGCTTGCATTTCGAGTAGCATCATCGGCTGGCACTCGACTGTTGGGCAGTGGGCTCGTGTGGAGAACATGACTATCCTTGGAGAAGATGTTCATGTTGGCGATGAAATTTACAGCAATGGAGGCGTGGTTTTGCCTCACAAGGAGATCAAATCTAGCATTTTGAAGCCAGAGATTGTAATGTGAAAAGTTTGTTGCTGTGTAAGTTGAAAAATATTTGGTATTCGGGATGGGTTTGTTCTTTTTTTCCAATTTTCCTCAGCAATTGAATGGTAAGTTATGGGGACCTCTTTAGTGATTACGAGGGTTATGTTCATAAATAGTCACTGGTGTGGATTATGTAACCTTTTGTAGATATGAAAATAAATCATGAGTTGATTTATTTTGGAATTTGCAGATTAATATTTGTTTTAAAGTAAAATTATCAGATTTATTTCCTCATTTGACAGGCATGGCATATTATCTATTATAGAAGAAAAACAATCCAGAAAGCTTTGTTTATGCGATTTTTCATAGAATGCAAATTTTGAAAATGAAGATCAACTCCTGTTTATGATGAATGACTGATGATGTTAAGCCTATATTTGGTTCATGTTTGTAAACTGTTTATAAACACTCGAGTTACTTTTTGTTCATACATTTCGAAAGAACTACAAATATATAAATCACTTGTATGCCGAATTATTCAGAGACGAGGATAAAAATGCTATGAAAGGTACAGCAAGAGTTCATTGAATAAGAAATCATCCTCAGTGACCACATTGTAAGTCCTTTTCCGCTCGTTCAATTCATTTCGAGACCAACCAAAAGATTCATGATAATTAAATCTTTTAACAGCTATGTACCATATTAGTTCTGATGGACCCTAAGAATATATTATTTGTAGGGGGCTTTGGATTAGATAAGGATAAGTAACAGCTCAACTCCTACCTTTAATACCCACATATCACAATATACTTCTTCATCTAAGGGCCCATATTGATTTCATTGATTCACTTTTATTAGTGGAAAATCCTGCAAACAGCAGAGATGATGTTGGGTTTCTTCAACTTTTCCATATAGAGACAAGTTTTGCCTAATCATTTCTTTGTATATTCATCAAGAAAACTTTAAAAAGAAGAATAATGCAATTTATAGTCAGCGATTGCATTAGTCATCCTACGTGATAACTTGTTGTTTAAGACATTAATTTGTTATATGAGATAGCAAAATTATAAGAAATCAATGTTTCAAATAATAAGCTGTCACATAAGATGTCTACGGCAGTAGATCGCTGTGAATAGTATTATTCTAAAAAAAATCCAAATTATGTCATAAAATACTTTGTCAAGACATAGTGTAATTAAGATTCCTTTTATGGAACAAGATTATTCAATTTGTGGGGTCTTTATGGAAGTTAGCAAGTCACTTGCATCTCATAATTCAAGTGTAAAAAAGTCAAATTTGAATCACTTGTTGCTAAAAAAAAACATTTTGACTAATTTCACTTTCAATTATCTTGCACGTATTGTCATACTTAACGCACAATACCTCTACAATTTTCCATTCTAAGCGTATGTAAAACGACTTCTCTTTATCTGTCGATAATGAGTTTCAATTTATTAAATACTTCTGCATTAAAAAAGTTTTAACTTTTGTCCGATATCTCAATTGTTATTTTAGTTTATACGTGGTACAAACGTTGTTATAATGATCCGTAACTCTTTAATAGACATAAGGTATAATAGAAACAAGTTTAACTTATTTTTCTTCATGGTTACAAAAAGAATTCAATAAGTTACTTTTGAACTTAGCAAAGAGTGCCTTTTTTTTTTTTTTTTGCTGATGTAGGAACCCGTAGCCACTACTCGTAAGTGCGCACTGGATAAACCTCGCTCCATGTGCAGTAGCTCGCAAACCACACATGAGAGATAAACCGCACTAGGCAACCCGGTGCGACGAGTTCGATCGAGGAAGTGTTGGAAGGGAAAAATGTGCTTTTAATATTATAAAGTATTGTTCATTCTACGTTGTCAAACGTCCTATCAAAGCTCAAATAGTATTGAGTTCCAAGGCAACAAAGTGAATAGAAATAGTTACATGCTTTCTTGTTGAATTGAGTGAAATCTTATATAAAATCAAGATATTAGATACGCATACGTATTATTCGAGATTGAATTTCAAAAAGATCTTTTATTTCTTTTTAAGAAAATGCAAAGAAATCTACGCTGACAGAAGCAAAAATCAGCATACCTATTGTTCAAATTAAGATACAATGTCACCTCCCAAAAAATTAAGATACAACATCAAATTAAGATATATCATCATGTGAAGTGACTGGACAACATATGATCCTTAGTTTTTAAAATCATCCAAGTCTGCTTAGATAAAAATCGACCTTCTCGTCACGTCAATTCAACATTTTGTTCGAGTTTTAATCATTTCCTTGACTCTTAACATTTGAACTAAGCTTATTTCTAATTTAATGGTAGATGAAAAGCACGCACACGTCCGTCAACACGTGTAGACTGCCTTAAAAAGAATGAATTATTCTTATTGTACATAATTTTTTACCTATTTGGTTATCTAATTGACAAGTGGGGGCCCTCTGTTGGGGGCACTTGGGCCCACAAGCGCCCCCCAAATAGGGGGCCACCACTTGTCAATTCGATAACACATTATGTACTTGTAGCATGGTTGAGAAAGAAAACCCCAAAGCTGTTTAATTTAATTAAGGAATTTAATTTATTATATTGATAGATTTCTTGATGATTAAGGAATTTGATTTATTATATTGATAGATAAAAGTAAATATACTGTCAAAATTCATATTGTAGTAGTAAAAGAAAAATATGATGTCCATTTATTCTTCTTGAAGAGCAAATTGTCTCTTCAGCAAATATTCCAGTAAATATGATTTATTTCCCTCTCTGTATGGACTCGTCTGGATCACTATTCTTCATTTGATGTGATTAGCAAACACAAAAGTTTGATGCGTACATTACCATTAGGGTTCGTTTTCGCGTTTGATTGCGAGTATGAAATTTGCGTGGAAAGAAAATAAATTTTAGACAATTCAATTGCCACGAACTTATTTATATGTAAATTATTAATTAAATATGTTTGATTAATTTAGTTTTCAATTTGAAAAATATTATACTTATCTATTTTTTATTAGTGGGTAGATGGTCGAGAGGGAATAGACAAGACAAAGAAAGAGAGTGAATTATGGAAAATAAAAAGCATCACTTCCTAAAAAAAATGTTTTCCTTATTTTTTGAGAAAAATATGGTCACATGATCAAAAGTTGGAAAATATTTTTTATAGAAAAATTGTAAGTCAAACACTCCAAAAGTAGGAATTTGTGTGGAAAATGACATTTTTCTTGGAAAACAAAGTCAATCAAACCCTATTAGAGTGCATTTGATTTCAAGTACTTAACTTGCATGGAAAGAAAATAATTTGCCTATAAATTATTAATTAAATGTATTCGATTGATTTAGTTTTCAACCTAGAAAATATTATATTTATAAATTTTTTATTGGTGGGTAGATGAGAGAGAGAAAGAGAGAGTGAATTATCTGTAAAGTAAAAATCACATCTCCCTAAGGAAAATATTTTTCTTGTTTTTAAGGAAAATATGATCACGTGACCAAAAATAGGAAATTATTTTTCATGAAAAAAAATTTCAATCAAATAGTACAAAAGTAGGAAATTACGTGAAAAAACACATTTTTTATAGAAAATATTGGCAATCAAACGCACCCTTAAGGAAAATAGTGGAAGTCGCGATCATAATTTTGGTTGTTGAAGTTTGACCCAAATTTGATTGGATTTTGGTGGATTAGTTTACGTGGGCTTTGAAGAGGTCAAAATATGGACTATGAAATAATTTCGAAGTTTTTTCGCTTGCTGTGCTCCAAGTTCCTACTCGAGCGTCCAAAGCAGGGAGCCGGCGCTCGCTCACTGCTAACCTGCAACTAGCTCAGCGCCAAATGGCTTTCGAGCCCTACTATGTTTAGGCTGAAAATTATTTTCTTTATGCCACACTTTTTTTTATGATCTTTCCATTTTTAACATTATAACAGAATGAGACCTGCCAGTTAAGCTTAAAATGTTTACTTATAAGTACATTCCAAATAAGTAACTTATTTGACTTGAAAGGAAAAAAAAAGTAAAATATCCTTAACCACGATGCAATCTCCAAACTCCAAAACATATTACGCAAGAATTTGGTGGGGCTGAGGGAGAGACGAAGAAACTGAAGACAAAGATATATAAGCGACCATTTCTACACACTCCTATAGAAAGAGTGGAGGCCGGAGGGTGGGAAGAAATGGTACAAATGAGCAGCAAAAACTGGTCACACCATTTACTGTCAGTAATTTGAAAAGAATTAAGCTACTTGTACAAAAAAAAATTGACAAAAAGCTTGACACACTCTCACATGAGCCGACCCCACATGAATAAAAAATTGGACAAAAAATGTGGAGGCCCCCACCCGATGTGAGAGGCCGGTCAGGGTGTTTGTCACCCCTGACCGGTACACCAAGCCTCGTCCATTTGAAAAAGGCTCCAAAGTACAGTAACAGGACGAGTTGGACTACAACTTCTATTATCAAAGATGATGCTAGTGTTACAATCAAGTCAATGTGCAACCTTTGAGTGTGACACTACCACTTGAATCCTTTTAAATTACTTCACACCATGTGACTTTAGGTGGAAATTTTATCATTAAGACTAGCCTATCATGAAATTATTATCTTTCAATTTTTTTTTTTCCAAATCTTCAATACCAACTCCCGAATGTGTTCGTGGTAATTGTTTTATTACAATTCCATATAAATATTTTTATCTACGGTAGCTAAACTCGAATTTGTAAATGTTGTTTCTAAATAGTCCAACATTCAATCCCATAGTGGAAAAGCTACAGCGATGCTCTTGAAACGTTGAAGGATGAAATGGACGGTTTTGAGTAAAATCTGACGGCAGTTAATAGTTGAAGATGAAATATCACCTATATAATAATTGTAGGACTTAGCTGACGCTCTCGAATAGTGGAAGAGGATTTTGATGCTTTTGAACAATTGAGGATAAAATTGTTCGAATTTTATAGTGATAATTGAATGTTGTTACTTTTTTAAGATGAAAATGATTCTACTGAATTGGTAAAGGTCGGAATTGATGCTCTTATTAGTTGAAGGACG